TCCTGCAAATGTCTGCAGAGGTCAGAAGAGGACGTCGGATCTCCTGGAACTGGAGTTCTAGATGATTGTTAGCCACCATGTGGGTACTAACATGGAACTGAACCAGGTCCTCTGCAAGAACAGCCATTGTTCTTAACTGCTGAGCCATCTCCCCAGCACCATGATTTATTAATTTTTATGTGTATGAGTGTTTTGCCTGCATGTATGTAGGTACACCACATGCATGTAATGCCCAAGGAGGCCAGAAAGAGGGCATAAGATCCCCTGGAACTGGAGTTACCAAGATTGATAGCTTATCCATACTATACTGTCTCTGGTCCAGGAGAAAAGGAGCACCCACCCTCTTGATTGATACCACATCCCCAGGGGCAGCATAGTGCCTGACACTAAGAGGGCTCTAAGAAAATTTATATTGAGCACGGTGTGTTAGTGTATGCCTGTAATCCAGGCACTTGAAAGGTACAGGCAAGAAGATAAGGAGTTTAAGGTCATCCTCAGCTACATAGCAAGTTCAAGGCCAGCCCCGGTTATATGAGAAGACCCTGTCTCAGAAAAAAAAAAGTTTCAAAAAATAGAGGAATTGAATGTAAGCGAAGGGACATGGCTCTAAGCTGGCAGGAGGGTCTGAGAGGAAGGGTCTTAGAAGAGAAGTTGACCTTAAGCAGGGTGACCGACTTCAGGATGAGGAAAGAAGGGGGCAGAAAATGGGCTCATACAGCTGCGTTCATGGTAGGGAGACAAGCGCTGCCGTCAGATGACCTTGGGAGTGAAAGAAAGATGATTCACCGAGGTTGCCAGGCAACAATCCAGCAGCAGACTGTTAATTTGCTGTTGAATCCACAGGCTACTTTCTGGAACTCTCCTATGGGTTTTTATCAAGAGAGAGAAGCAGGAGTTGAGGAAGGGCTGGTAGTAGTCTCTGCCCGAGATTGGGGGACAGGCTGCCAGGTTCTGAGGAGGACAGGACAGGGGCAACGGTCCAGGTGCATCTCAAGTAGCTACAATAACAAACCTTGGGGTCCAGGCTGGAGGAGGAGGAAAGCTAGGCCAGGAAGGGTAGTAAACAAGAACCCAGATAGGTAGAGGAACCAGAGGTCACAGCAGGGGCAGATGAAGGGGAGCTGGGTTTCCAGAGAGGAGATGGGGCAGAGGCTGCAGGCAGAGAGAGATAGCCAGCCAGCCCTGGAGTCCAGGAAGACCCTCCAGGTACACGGCTCTGCTTCCTCACCTTTTACCTGTGGGGACTAACCCTAGCCAAGCCTCACTTCCTCATCTCTGACCTTCAGTGAGCAGAGGATTCCTCCCACACAGGTGCTCTTCAGCCAGTTTTCCCATTTAAATCATTTAAAACACGTTTTAATTAGGGACTAGAGATGGCTCATCTGCTAAGAGCACTGGCTGCTATTGCAGAGGACCCGGGTTTGAGTCCAGCACCCACATGGCAGCTAACAACTGTGCATAACTCCAGTTCCAGGGAATCTGATGCCCTCTTCTAACTTCCCTGGATCTTGCATGACACTAATTATTCATAGTGAGTTTCATCATGACATTTTCATACCTGTACATAATGTATTTTAATCATTTTCACATACTCCCATCGCCCTCTCTTGCCCACTCCCACTCCCACTGATCTCCCTCTTCCCAGCTAGCCTGCCCTCTCCTTTTATACCTCTTTATAGGCATGTACCAATGACTTTCCTTAGGGCTGTTGACAGACTCATGGGTGAGAGTTTGTTTATGGGAACATGGGCACTTGACCAGTGACTACACCACAGAACAAAAATCTCTCCCTTCTCCATCAACCACTAACCCTGGGAAATCCTATGAAGGGAGGGGTAAGGCCCCATGAGCACCTATTTTTTTAATTTATGTTTTATGTGAATGAGTGTTTGGCCTACAAGCACATCGTGTCATGCCATACCTGTGGCAGCCAGAAGGTATCAGATTCCCTGGAACTAGAGTTATGCACAGTTGTTAGCTGCCGTGTAGGTGCTGGGATTCAAACTTGGGTCTTCTGCAAGAGCAGCTAGTGGGCAGTCTTAACCACTGGGCCATCTCTCCAGCTCCTCCCTCCCCCTTGACTGTTTTCTAAAGGCAAGGTTTCATGTACCCCAGGCTAGCCAAGAACTCACTATGTAGCTGAGTTTGACCTTGAACTTCCTCCTGCCTCTACCTCCTAAGTGCTGGGATTACAGATGTTCGCTACCATACCTGGTTTATGCAGTGCTATTCTAGGGCTTCATGCATGCTAGACAAGCATTCTACCAACTGAGCTATATCCCCAGTCCCAAAACATATATTCTGTTGAAAGAAAAAAAAGATTCAAAGGACTGGTGATTGCAGCTTAGTGGTCCAGTGTTTGCCTAGTGTGAGCTTGTACTGCCAGACGGAAGGTTTAAAGACCTTCTATAATTTGATTTTTTGTTTTGAGACAAGGTCTTGCTTATGTAGTTCAGGCTGGCCTTGAATTCTCAAGCCTATCCCAGTGTCCTGAGTACTAGAATTATATGTGAACACCACTACACCTGGCATTTACACTGTGTTAGGTTTCATAAGTATCTAAAGGTGTTTTTTTTTCAATTTTATTTATTATTTTTATTTTATGTGTATGCATGTATTGCCTGCATGTAGGTAAGTGCACCCGTGTCCTGCAATGCCAGCGGAGGTCAGAAGAGGCTATCGAATCCCCCGGAACTGGAGTTATGAACAATTGTTAGCTGCCATGTGAGTGCTGGGAACCGAACCTGGGTCCTATGCAAGAGCCTGGTCTACATAGCTAATTCCAGGCCAACCAGGGGACATCGACTCAAAAGTGAGTCTCAAAACATCAAAAACATAAAATAAAATAATAGGCATAAATAAATGAAAAATAAAGCATCTGTGAGGGTGTGTGTAGGTCATGGGAAATACATCAGCATTTTATTTAAGGGACTTGAGCATCCTCAGATTTTGATATCCGAGGATATCCAAGACAACTATGTAAATACCCCTCATTTCACAGGTAGGAAAACTAAGACCTAGAAGGTTCAAGTGCCTTGCCTTAAGAAATCTGAACCTGGGGTTCCAATTCGTCTTCTGTCCAGCCCTTTTACACGTACATGCTCGACATGGACACAGACCTCCGTGCTGATGCCCAGCCTCACCCCCAGGCTCTGGTATGAGGACCCCCGGAGTAATATCAATTGAAGCCTTGACTGAGAAACACAGCCTCAAAGACACAGATGAGAGAGAGGGGAGCGGGAAGGCCAGGAAAGGTTGAGGCAGGGATGTGGGCATCCTTGCCCTTTCTCTATGAAGCTGGGCTTCCAGGGCGCTGGCAGCTTCTCTAGCTCAGTCTGAGGGCCTGCGACTCCCATATAGCAAGTGGGACCAGAATCCATGAGCCCACATCCCCCTGCTCAGCCTCTGCCTCAGGAAGATGCCTGTGTCAACACAAACACCTCCCAGATGTCATTCTTTGGCCCTCAGCACCATCACACCCTCTAGGCCCTGGTTTCCTGGAGCAGGAAGGAGACTGAGTCACCATCAACCCCCTTTTCCGCAATTAAGAACCTATTAGGAAGCTGAGGTGTTGGCCTGTCTGACAGCAGTTCCTAGCTCATCAACAGCAGTCTGGTCAGTGTGGGTAGGCAAGAATGAGCCAGGTGTGCAAGGGGGGTGGGAGTGGGAGGGGGCTGCTGCTGAAGCCCCATCTCCCCAGGGAGCATTCACCCTGTGTAGAGTACCCTGGATATGATAGCTGTTTTTGTGCTCTTAGGCTATAAACCTACCTAGGCAATCAAAGAAGGGGACATTTTCTCCTCTTGTCCCTGAGGATAAGGAACTCATAGCCTGGACCCTTGCTCTCAGCAAGTGCTCCACAATGAATTTGAAATATTTGGGTTTGGGTGAGCTGTGTTTGATTTTTGTGGTGCTAAGCATGGAACCCTGATTTGAGTTTTCCTGGATACCTGTTCCACTGTGGAAGTGGTTACATGAGATTTTATTAATTACAGAACAAAGAAAGTCATCAATTAGTGTTTACCAAATATACTGTTGGGGAACACAGGCCAGCAGGTTATACCAAATCGGGAAAAATTCTGTTAAGGGTTTTAGATTGTATTTGAGAACATTCTTAGCTTTTGGATTTGTGGAAGGTAGTAGGGTAGTGGTTGGCTAAAAACACATTTTAAAGTAGTTTTAAAGATTTATTTTATTTGTTTTATATATGTATGAGTGCCTGTGGAGGCCAGAAGAGGGTGTTAGATCCCTCGGAGCTGGAATTATGGGCAGTTATGAACCGCTAGATGTGGGTACTGGGGACCAAATTCAGGTCCTCTGTAAGAGTACTAAGCATTCTTAACCACTAAGCCATCTCTCCAGCCCCCATTTTAGTTTTCATAGTCACAAGGATGTTAGAGCAGACACAGGGGTGGGCAGTGAATGGCTTTCAAAGGGACTTAAAACAACCCAAAGTAATCTGGCCCTTGTTTGCTATCTTTTTTCTTTTTAAGACCAGCTCTTACTATGTAACCCTGGCTAACGTGTAACTCACTATGTAGACCAGGTTGGCCTTGAACTCACAGAGGTTTGTCTGCCTCTGCTTCCCAAGTACTGGGATTAAAGGTGTGCTCCATCACACCTTTGTTTTTTTTTTTTAATATTTTATTTATTATTTTTATTTTATGTATATGAGTGTACTGCCTGCATGGAGGTAAGCGCACCCATGTCGTGCAATGCCCACGGAGGACAGAAGAGGCTGTTGGATCCCCTGGAACTGGAGTTACGGACAGTCGTTAGCTGTCATGTGGGTGCTGGGATTCGAACCCAGGTCTTCTGCAAGAACAGCCAGTGTTCTTAACCACTGAGCCATCTCTCCAGCCCCCCTCTTCCTCCTCCTCTTCCTCCTCTTCTTCCTTCTCCTCCTCCTCCTCCTCCTCCTCCTCTCTTCCTCCTCTTCTTTCCTTCTGGGAACTTCACTTCACACCAGCAGCTGGATACAGGGGCCTTCTTCAGCTCTCTCTGCTTTGCTATGTGGGTCCAGCCAGGTAGGTAATCCAGGATGTGCTTCTTGCTTTAACGACATCTATGAATTTCCTTTTGCCACAGGTTCCAGGGATTGGGGGGTGTAGACATACTTAGGGAGGCCACCATTCTGCCTCCCACACCCCTCCTAGGAAGAGCTCCAGTTCAACTCCTCTTTTCAGTGTGTGGACTCAGGCGGGGGAGTGCCCCCCTGTGTGAGCCTCAGTTTCCTCAACCGTAGAATGGGGTCATCCTAGCACTTACATCCTAGGATCCTGACAGAGAGTAACTGCATTTGTTCTTGCACAAGACTTACCAAGTGCCTGGCACATGCATTGTCATCCCTGTGATGGGATCTGATCTTCAACTTCACAGGCCCAGCCTCTTCTGTGGTCACCCAGCCAGCTGGTGTTGAAGCCAGGATTCTAATCCTGACTTCATGGAGATAGGTAATGGACCTTGGAGGCTCCACCTCCAGAGACTTCATCCCTGATCCCTCTTTTTAAAAATTGTGTTTATGGGGGCTGGAGATGGCTCAGCAGTTAAGAACACTGCTTGTTCTTACAGAAGACCTGGGTTTGAATCCCAGCACCCACATGACAGCTAACAACTGTCCATAACTCCAGTCCCAGAGGATCCGACAGCCTCTTCTGACCTCTGAGGGCATTGTACGACACGGGTGCACTCACATACATGCAGGCAATACACTCATACACATAAAAGAAAAATAATTTTTAAAAAATTTTAATTGTATTTATGGACTAGACAGATGGCTCAGAGGTTAAGAGCTTTGACTGCTCTTGCAGAGGACCCAGATCCAATTCCCAGCACCCACATGGCAGCTAACAACTGTCCATAACTCCAGTTCCAGGGAATCCGATGCCCTCTTCTGACCTCCATGAGCTTTGCATGACACAAGTGCACTCATATACATGCAGGCAATACACTCATACACATAAAATAAAAATAATAATTAACGCTCTGGGTGCTGTGCAGAGTGATTTATATACTGCACCTTTCCAAAAACCACCCCACACTACTTCCCTCACTGGAGGAGAAAACATCTCAACATCTGGAAAAGGGGAGGACCAGGAAAGCTTCCCTTTCCATCAAACCATGCACTCTTTGTGAAGAACCATGCGGCACACACTCCTGGGAGCCAGGGGTGTGCCTTACATCTCTGAGCAGGACCCCTGTCCCCTACACCTTGACGTACCGACAATGACGCCCATTACTATTGAATGGGAGACAAGGCTCTGTTGTTGAAATTGCCACCCCGCTAGCTGGGAGAAGAACAGCCAGGGGGCATAACCTGATTCGCAGGCAGAAATCAACCTGGCTCTTTGAAAGCTTGTAATTTCTGGTTACCATAGCAACACCAGCATCTCCATTCCCCCCAGGACATGAGCAGAGCTACTCTCTCCCTGCCCTTTGCCCCCAACCCCCCTCCAAGTCCTTCCATCTCTGAGATTGCTGTGATTCAATTAATTACTGTCAAAGCCTGTGCTGTTTTTTGTCATTTTTCACTTATTCCATCTGCTGAGTCACTGTGCCCTACTCTGGATTCGAGTGGTTATTCACTAGAACATTTGGTCCCAGGTTGCCATGGACACCATGCAGCCTGCATCCTTCATCACCTGTTAATTCTCAGCAAGGCTGGCTGTGAGCGTGGGGTACCACTGCCCTTATACAAGACCCAAGGGACATCAAATCTCTCCCAGACAATAAAGGGGGCCCAATGACGCATGAACACAGGCAAAATGTCTAATCTCAGGTATGGAAAAATCAAAAACAGCCTAGAGCTCATTTTAGCCTTGCAAACCACATCCAGGCAGAAGCTTATCAAATAAGCCTACAAGCATACCCTTTTGTTTACAAATACATCTTTTCTTTGACAAAGGCTTTAGTCTGTTCACTAACCATTTTAAGATGTATTTTTTATGTTGCAAAGTTATGAATGCTTTATGCAAATCACCATCTACCCATGAAAGCAAGATGGAGGCGTCTTGACATGCAGGATCCTGAAGGTAGGGGGTTTACGAGGAGGTCTGAAAGCTTCAGGCAGATCTCCAGGCCAGCGTAGACGGCATAGGAGAAGGGAAATGCTGGGGTTTTCCATGGTCAGGGGAGTATAAAGGTTTTCCAAGGCAACCAACATGAGGCTCCATGCAGAGAGAACAGACCCATCAGTCCCACGGCCCATTGCTCCCAATAATTACAACGCATCCTGTTTGCAGAGCCTGGTGGAGGGAACAGGAATCAATATGTCACTCCACGTTCACACACAACTTGCCCATCAAACACCAGCATATGGGGACTGCTGAATCGAAGGTCATTTGGTTCACTTCCCTCCCCATGGGATATAGTCCAAGGGATAAGTAACAGGCCTGTGCCCCAAGGGATATGATACGGTGAGCTGTTCTTGAACTCATGGAGTCTATCTCCTGCCTGCCCCCTCCCTGTGCCAGCCCTTCCCTTCCCTACATGCTGAATGAATAACTGATTGACACTCCGTGACAGGGTGGGGGCAGGGTGACATGTTGTCCCTGTGCCCCACACCCATTTCTCTTACTGTGGGGAGTCTGGCCTCACCTGGAAGGAAGGATTGGGAGGGACCTTGAGAGCTTTATAAGGCAGGCTTGGAGCAGTAAGCATAGCAGAGCTGACCCAGCCGACACAACAGCCACCTCCCAGCCCTGCAGGTGAGAAACTGGGAAGGGAACGGAGGGGACAGCAGGGACAAGGGCTGTCAGGCCCCTTCCCCTTTGAGGCTGCAGGCCACTGTGGGTCAGAGCCTGGGGCTTTCCCCTTGGTGGCTTTCCCCCATGGTGTCTCCAGGGCAGGTGCCCTCTCCCTAGCCTAAGGTAGAACTAGGTCTCAGCTCTATGACCACCCTGGCATTCCCAGCCCTCCTCTTCCACCTGCCCTGCTTTGCTCAGGGTCCCAGCCTTGATACTGTTCCCCCCTTCCCCCACAGCCCAGGAGGTGAACAGATGACAGCCTTTCTCCCATTGTTGGGATGAGAACACTAAGGTGCAGAGGTCAGATATGACTCGCCCAAAGTCATCCAAATTAATAGGCAGGGCTGAGACTGGAACCCACAGCTCCCGGATCTCATCTCAAGCTCTTTCTGCATCATCACTTCCCAAAAGGACATTCCGTGTTAATGCGAATGCTTCGAGCCCGTTCTGTCCTGTATGGCCATTGCTAGCTGTGCAGGCACATGACATGTGGCTAGTTCAAGGGGAGAAAAACTTTATTGTAATTCATTTAAATTTAAAGAGCCATAAGCTAGTGGCTACCATGTTGTTGGTCAACCTGTGTGGCTCATGTTGGACAGAATGGCTCTAGAAAATTGCTTTTCCTTTCCTTTCCATTTCTTTTCTTTACTTTATTTCCTTCTTTTTTCTTCCTTCCTTCCTTCTTTCCTTTTGCTCTCTCTTTCTTTTGTTTATTTTTGGGGGACAGTCTTTCCCTGTCAGCCCCAGTCAAGCTGACCTCCATCTCACACAGATCTACCTGCCTCTGCCTCCCAAGAGCTGGGATTAAAGGCAGCACTTTTTAAAAGACAGGCCACCACTTTAGTCCAGGCTGGCCTAGAACTCACTAAGCCTTGAACTTGTGGCAATCCTCCTGCCTCAGCCTCCCATGAACTAAAACTATAAGCATGAGCCACCACATCCAGTTCTGATCTTCAACATTTATCTCCTTAGCAACAGAATTCTTTCTCTCTTACAAAGGAAACCTAATCTAAGAATCTATCCACTGAAAGCTAGTATCTTATTAATACATTTTTCTCATGGGGGAAAGTTACTCATTCAGTCACAATAAAGTCAATCAGAACAAGACTAAAAGAACCAAAATATTAAGTCCAAAGAACAGATGAGACTTTGAACTTGATGTGTGTTTTATCCCACTTCAGTTCTTTTAAAAAATACTTTATTTATTATTTTTATTTTATGTGTATGAGTGTATTGCCTACATGTGTGTAGGTGTACCCATATCATGCAATGCCAGTGGAGGTCAGAAGAGGACGTCGGATTCCCTGGAACTAGAGTTATAGAGCGTTGTTAGCCTCCATGAGGATGCCGGGAATTGAACCAGGGTCCTCTGCAAGAGTAGTCAGTGCTCTTTAACCACTGAGCCTTTGCTCCAGTCCACCACCACCACCACCCCCACGTTTCAGTTCTGTGCTGTGGTTTCCCCAAACTTGATCCACCTTCCTGCTTAGTTGCAAATGTTGAGTTTATTTTTTTCTCAGTTGTTGAAGTTGTATAATCATAGGTTGTTCCCCAGCTAAGCAAACACAGTAAGACTTTTCCTCCGAGGGCTGCACAGACATAATGTGGCCCACCCCCTGGATGGACATGCTAGTGGTATCCATAGTCTGTAACACCCTTGAGTGTGTGAGCACCTTTGGCATCTCTATTTAAAGGTTTACTTTAAGTTATAAGACTAAACCATCTACAGAGCCACTGACCTAGCCTCATCCTGCAGAGCATTCTAGAAAATGCTATTCTATGGTTATTGTGGGATTTAAAAAATATTTATTATTTTTATTTTAAGTGTATTGCCTGTATGTATGTAAGTGCACCTGTGTCAAACAATGTCCGCGGAGGTCAGAAGAGGGCTTTGGAGCCCCTGGAACTGGAGCTACGGTTGGTTGTTAGCTGCCATGGTGGGTGCTGGAAACCAAACCTGGGTTCTCTGCTAAAGCAGCCAGTACTCTTAACTGCTGAACCATCTCTCCAGATCCTGTGGTTTTATTTTTAATGGTGTGTGTGTGTGTGTGTGTGTGTGTGTGTGTGTGTGTGTGTGTGTTGAATGTTGTTCACTTGGGGGGGCATGCGAGCACCCATGTGCACATGTGGAGGTCAGGGGAGGCTGTCAGGTGTCCTCCTCCATTGCTCTCCACTTTATTTCATTGAGATAGAGTCTCTCTCTGTACCTGGAGCTTGCTTTTTTCTTTCAGAAAGATTGGCAGCCAGCACGCCTCCTGTCTCTGCCCCAATAATGAAGTTACAGTAGCACCCAGCTTTCTACAGGAGTGCTGGGGATCTGAACTCAAGTCCTCATGCTCCCACAGCAAGTGCTCCTACCCATTGAGCAACCTCCCCAGACCTGGTTCTAGGTTTTGACTTTCCCCAAGGGAAGCATTGGCTGTCACTGGGTGGGAAAGGAGGAAAAGCAAGACCTGCGGACCTGGGAGTGCTGGCAGGCACTGGAGAACAGAAATTAAGAAACAGCCTTCACCTCCACACAGTATCACAAGTCTGTTACCAGGCAGGAGCTGGGAGTTGGAGCCCATAAGGTCTAGCCCAGTGCCCTACATGGTGACAACCCCCATCTTGAGGCCTAGCCCTCTCCCCTTTGCAGACAAGATGTCTCGACTGTGCATGTGCATGCTGATCTTAGCGCTGGCCCTGGCGACCTTCTCCGAAGCTTCTTGGATGCCCCACTCACAGCTACAGGATGCACCTTCTGGAGCAGGAACCAACAGGGGCCTGGAGCCTCACCGGCTGGTCCAGTTGGACCCAGCCTCTCACCACCGAAGGCAGGTGGGGCCCCAGGGTCCCCCATACTTCACAGCAGGTAGGAGCTGCTGACCCAGCCAGGTTTGGCCCTGGTCCTGGATACTGGCCCCACCCACTTCCCGGAGGCTGGGCATCCATTCCCCCATTCTTGCCTCCTGTTACCTCCTCAGACCTGTCCAAGAAGCATGGGCCACGTATGGAGGAAGAGGAAGAGGCCTACGGATGGATGGACTTCGGCCGTCGCAGTACGGAGGAAGGTGATCAGCATCCCTAGCACCAACCCTCCAGAGTCCAGCCACCACCACCCACCCCCAGCTCTGTCCCTGCAAAGCATATCAAAATAAAGTAGCTTCCAAAGGATCAGTGAGTCTGCCATGTGCTGTGGGACAGGGAGGGAGACTTGACTGGAGATTGGGCTGAGGCAGAAAGCAGAGTTTAGTGCACCCTTGGGGCAGGGTCTGGAGAGCCAGATCATACAGGAATCTACCAGGATGGATGGGAGAATGGGGGCAAGCGTGGGGGTTCACAGCCTAAGTAAACTTTTCAAAATTTCATGTTTGTTTATTTATTTTGTGATATGGAGGGGCACACATGAAGGTCAAAGGTCAAAAGACAACAGTTCAGGAGTTTATTCTCTCCTTCTACCACATAGGCTCAGGGAACAAACTCAGGTCATCTGGCTTGGTCAAAAGCACTGTTACTGGCTGAGCCATCTTTCCAGGCCCAAAGCAAGCTTTTTAAAAGATAAATCATGTCACTCCCAGCTTAAACCTTCCAAGGCTGCCCAGTTCACTTAGGATAAAGTCACAACTCCTTTCTAAATTCCCATGCTAGCTCAGCCCAGTTCTTGCCACCACGGGGGCATCTTCCAGTCTATTTCTCATCCTCCTGCCCTCACATAGATGCACCATGCTCAGAACCTGTGTCATTGGTGTTTCCCCCAAACCTGGAATGTTCTTTCCTCAGCCCAAACATAATGAGCTTCACTTTGCTCCTTGAAGTCTTGGTTAAAACTCCCTTTTCTTTGAGACCCACCCTTTCCACACATTTCACAATCTGTAGCTGGTTTCTTGCCAGTTTTTTTTTTCTTCCTTCTCAGATGGGAAGCTGAGAATGGGGAACCATGGATCCCCCTTCCCTGCTGTATCCCCAGTGCCAAAGTCAGAAGGGCCCAATAAATCCATAGCAGATACCCAGGTGAGTGTCAGGCATGATGGTTGTTGGTATCTCATCCCTGGCCCCGATTCTTCTCATGCCTGTTGGTAGATTCCTCCCATAGTCAGGAGCTGTTCTCCACCTGAGGTGGGAGGGGACAAAAACTCCTTTCTCTAGCCAGAGGTTAATGGCTGGGGCTCTGAAATAAAATATCACAAGAGAAAAGCAAGCGAGTTTGTCAATATATATGTTGCACATTTTATACGTGAAATCCTTAGAAGATGTGGGACTCAGACTCTTCCCAGACTAGCTCATGCAGGTCTTCAACAAAGAATAAAGTTTGTAGCAAAATGAAACTGGCTATAGGCTTTCAAGGGTTGCAAACTGTGTGTGAAAGCAAATATATAGGAAATAATGGGTAGACAAATTAGATTACTAAAAATCTGTCAATCTCCAGGCTGAAGAGGGTCTAAACTTGTCTCCAGCAATGGCCTTCCAGCCTTGGTAAAGGGGAAGGCAGCTTTGAACACTGAAGTTCTGCTTTCAGGCAGGTAGTGGGAAGACAGGAAGCTAGTGGCTGTGTCCTCTTATTCACCTTTAGTTCAAAATGGTCCTTATGCCAGTGAGGCCCATTTGGCAGGTATATTCTGGTTTCCTTCAGAGCTTTGTCTCAGCCTAAGTGCAAACAAGCTGGAAATACTGAGAAGTTCAGTTCTTCAGTTCCATCTCCCCATCTATAAAAGCCAAGAATCAGATGACAAATACCCCAGCTTTCCACCCCTTGAATGGCAGGACTGTCTCCCAAAGTTCCCCAGCAGTGCTCTCCAGTTTTCCACAGCAATAGCTTGCTCAGTTCTCTATTGGCTTCCTTCCGTTCCCTGTTTCACATCCTCACACCCCTACTGGTGCTCCGGGAACCACCACCCAAAGAAACTGCTTGCACCCAACTCCTTGCTCCAAGTCTATCTAGAGGAACTGATCTAAGACACTTGGTTCCACAAGGGGTTGTAGGAAGCAGATTTTAATGATGGGATAATTTAGAATCTGATCCTTTATCAGGCAACCCCCATTGTGGGGACATTAGAGAAGATATCCTTTGAATCTTTAACTCTCAGGTTTCTCTAAATCTTCTGCCCTGGAAGAGCCTCAATCTTGCCAGAAGTGAACAGCTTCCGTTTCACCAGAGGCAGAGGCTTCATTTCATAAGATGATGCTTCTCCACGAGATCCGAGCCTGCCCCCTTCAGGGCCTCTAAACCAGAAACTAGGGCCAAGCCTTAGCAAGTGGAAAAGTCCTGACTCGGAGAGGGAGATAAAGGGTTTACATAAAAATTCTGTAGGACTTGAATAACCTCAGTGAGATACAACAGAAGCCAGGAGAATACAGACTGGGGTGGGTTTTTTTAAGTTCTTTTTAAAAATTTTTTATTTATTACTTTGTTATTTTTTTTATTTTTTTATTTTTTGGTCATTTTGAAACAGGGTCTCTCTGTAGCCCCAGCTGGCCTGGAACTCACTATGTAGACCAGGCTGGCGTTGAATTCACAGAGATCCACCTGCCTCTGCCTCCAAAGTGCTAGGACTAAAGGCGTGCACCACCATGCCCAGCCTTTATTTATTACTTTTTATGTGTATGAGTATATTGCCCACATGTAAGTGCACCTGTGTCATGCAATGTCTGTGGTTAGAAGAGGGCATTGGATCCCCTGGAACTGGAGTTATGGATGATTGTTAGCTGCCATGTGGGTGCTGGGAATTGAACCCGGGTCCTCTGCAAAGAGCAGCTAGTGTTCTTAACTGCTGAGCCATCTCTCCAGCCCCTTTAATTCTTTATTACATTTTATTATCGCATGTGAGTGAGTGAGTGAGTGTGTGTGTGTGTGTGTGTGTGTGTGTGTGTGTTTGGGTACACATGCCACTGTCCATGTGTGGTGGTCAGAGCACACCTAGCAGAAATCTGTTCTCTTCTTCCACCATGTGGGTCCTGGGGATTGAATTCAGGTCACCAGGCTGTTTGCAGATGCTTTTATCCACCGAGCCATCTTGCCAGCTGGGAGTAGGTTTTTGAGGCTGGTAGACCAAAGCAAGTGAATCGTTGACCTGGGAAGCATCCTCTCATGACTTGGGATTTCATCCTAGCAAGGACACCTAGAGCCAGTCTTCATCTCTTCCTGGGATGACTCCCTCAAAGCTTGGGTAAAACAATGGTCTACAGCAACTGCATTGAAGATATCAAAATTGCCTCATCTGAGTATTGAGAAAGAGGTCAAAAGGCTGTGAGGTGGGCATGATGGAACAAAACTATTGCATGAGACATAGAAACCCACAGCTGATTGTGTTCTCCACAAGGATCCCAGAGGACAGAAGGAATGTGCTAGAGAGAAAACTGTGAGATGTCCTCTCTTAGATTGCTAGAGATAACATAACAAAGTACCACAAACAGAGGGGCTGAAAGATGAGGCAGTGTCCACACTTCTCCGGAAATGCAGGTCTTAGACTCAGGTGTATTGGCAAGGTTGGTTCCTTCTAAGGGTGGTGAAAGAGAATTGTTCCTGCTCTCACCTAGTTTCTGATGACTTGCTGGCAGTCTTTGGCATTCTTTGGTTTGTAGGTCTCTGTCTTTATCTATATGTAATGCCCCTCCACCCTGTGTGTGTGCGTGTGCATGCATGCGTGCGTGCATGCGTGTGTGCGTGCATGTGTGTGTGTGTGTGTGTGTGTGTGTGTGTGTGTGCACTGATGTTTACTAAGGCTATCAATCACTTTAGATTAGGGTCTACCCTAAGGACTTCATCTTGACTAATCATATCTGTAATGATCTTATTCTAAAATAAAACCTCGGCCAGGAGTAGTGGCACACACTTTCAGTTCCAGCACTTGGAGGTAGAGGCAGGCCATTCTCTGTTGAGTTTGAGACCAGCCTGGTCTACATAGTGAGTTCCAGGCCAGCCAGGGCTACATAAAAAAACTCTGTCTCAAAACAAAACAAAGCAAAAAAAACAAAAACAAAAACAAAAAACAAGCCAAGTATAGTGGCACATATCTTTTAATCTCACTACTTGGGAGGCAGAGGCAGATGTTTTTTGTGAGATTGAGGCCAGCCTAGTCAGGGAAGATCAGCCATTGGTCAGGGAAGAGCACACATAAAGTTCACAAGCTAAGCTATTGAATATAGGGCCTAGCTGACACTCACTCAAGAGAACCAGAAGGCCATCATACCTCTATCCACACTAAAGAGGTGGCACAGAGAGGCCAGGTGACAAGTGGTGCTCCACACAAGTCTGTCTCACAGTAGGTCCAGTACATCAGTCATTTCCCAGTCCAAGAAGGTATAAATCTGGAGAGAGACACACATCTGGGAGCATCTCCACATTGATTCCTTGTCATATGGAATAAGAATCTTCATGGTAGGAGAAACTGAGTGGAAGTCCCAGAAGCTTCCCTCTCACCCACAATACCACGTGTCAGCTAAAATGTCAGAGATCAGCACCATCCTTAAAGACAAGGAATGCAGCCAGGCATGGTGGCATATGCCTTTAACTTGGGAGGCAGAGGCAGGCAGATCTCTGTGAGTTCAAGGCCATGCTGCTCTACGTAATGAGTTTCAGGCCATCTGGGGCTGCAGGGAGACCCTGTCTCAAAAAGACCCCTCCCCAAAAAAGACAAGGGATACAGTGATGCACCACATCATATGGCCCAGGTCTGGCCACTGAAAAGACAAGATGGACCATCACCATCTTAGAATCTACTACAAACTGGGCAGCAAGAGCCATGATGGCAGCCAGATGTGCTGGCTCTACTAGAACAGATGAGCATGCTGATTTGATGAGAATTTATGTTCCATCTTATCAGGAAGAAAAATCAGCAATTTAGCTGGAACAGACAGCAGTGCGTGTTCAAGCAGAACCTGTTTAGAAGCAGTGTTAAAGCACCTACAGTTGACAAGAGCATTGGATAGGGTGTCTGCAAATGTCCAAGAAGAGAAGTGCAGGGCAGATCCCTAGGGCTGGCAAGCTCTTTCTTACAGAGCCAGACAGAAAATATTTGAGGCTTTGCAAGCCAAGATGTAAAATGAAGGAAAGGAGGTAGATACTCAAATAATTTTAAAGTTGTTGGGCATGGTGGTGCATGCCTGTAATCACAGTACCTGGGAGACTGGGAGGATTGGAGGTCAGCCTAGATTCCATAGTAATACTGCTTCCAAAACAAAAACAAGTAATAGCTGGACATGGTGGCATCTGCTTTTAATTCTAGCACTGGGAAGGCAAAGGCAGGCAGATCTCTGTGAGAGTGAGGAAAGCCTGATCTATACTAGGGTTACAGGGACACTGTCTCAGACAAAAAAAAAAAAAAAAAAAAAAAAACAACTCCTGATCCCAGCACTTGGGAGACTGAGGTAAGAGAGTCACAAATTCAAGGTCAGTTTAGGCTGCATACCAAAGCTGCCTTGTCTCAATAAAAGTTTTTTAAATGTTATTATTTTCATTTTATGTGTATGAGTGTATTGCCTGTATGTGCACCCATGTCATGCAATGCCAGTGGAGGTCAGAAGAGGGCATTGGATCCCCTGGAACTGGAGTTACAGATGGTTATTAGCCGCTATGTGGATGCTGGGAATCAAACCCAGGTCCCCTGCAAGAGCAATTAGTGTTCTTAACCACTGAGTCATCTCTACAGCCCCATCTCAAGAAAAAACTTTAAAACAAAGAAAATCCCAGACATAGACTTCTGGTGGAAGAGGCAAATAAATGGTTTACAGAGAGGGCGGAAGAGGCTGAGGCCAGCTGAGCTGCCTGGAAGACACCCTCTGACCCATCAAGATGCCTGCCAGCTCCAGAGCTCCAGCTATCGTGTGCTGTCACCCATGCTGGGGTTGGCTTTCTACAGCTGCTTTTCAGTGGTCCCTGCTCCTGTAAGTAACCCTCACTCATTCTCTTATAAGTAACCCCAGCAAATTCATGGGTTCACCAAATTAGACTTTAATGGTATCATTACTTTGGTCTGTCTTTAGTTTCCTATCTGGGATGAATAGTTATATCTTCTTTCTCCCAGGAAAAGTGTCACACATAGGGCTGAATAGCTAGCTGTCCAGCAGCAGAAACTGGCTCTGAGCCCTTGATGGGGTACCATTTTTTGGTCATTTGATTATATCAGCAACTTCCACCTTAGGAGCCATTGAATTGGCCTTGTGAGGATAGATAAGGTACTCTGATCATAGGCTCAGCTCACCTTTCCTACTCATGGTGCCTGTCAGTGCCAGACAAGGGCTTTCGGAGAGCTTCATGGGAAACCCCTATGATTTACTACCATGGGATCCCATGACACGTGACCTCAAATCAAGAAATCCATGTCAAAGGGAAGGGGGTACATCAATAAGCATATCCTACCACATACTACATGGTCCTAAGCTACAGGCCTGGTGGAGGTTAGAATAAAGATGCAGCTAAAACACACCTGTGGAGGATGCCTAATTCTGTGATGATACCCTGAAGTTGGGAAGAAGGATGGGCTTTGACAATGCTCATTATATGGAGATAGCCAGAACATAGAGGACCAGGAAACAAAGGGTAGAAATGAAAGTGGCCCCCATCACCATTGATCACCATCCATCACCGTCCATCATCATCCATCACAGGACCTCACCTGAAGAATTTGTTTCCTGTCCCCACAGTTCTAGGCAGCACTGGAGTAGAATTCTTAACTTCCTGGGTCAGGGAGTGTATTTACAAGAAAGAATATAGTAAGTAAAAAATTACAGAGTTGGCCAGGTGTGGTAATACACACCTTTAATCCTGCACTTAAGAAGCAGAGGCAGGGAGATCTCTGCAAGTTCCAGGCCAGCCTGGCCTACATAGTGTGTTCCAGGCTAGCTGGGGCTACAGGGAGACCCTGTCTCAAAACAAAACAATGAAAGATTACAGAGCTGGAGCTGGGGAATTAACTCAGTTGGCAGAGTGCTTGTCCAGCATGCACAAAATTCTGGCTTCAATCCCCACCACCCCATAAAGGAGGGCAGGAATCAGGAGGATCAGAAGTTCAAGATCATCATTGACTACATGTGGAATTTGAGACTAGCCTGGAGTATATGAAACACACACACACACACACACACACACACACACACACACACACAAATTTTAAATAAAAATAAAATTACAGAACTAAGGAAGTAGCTCACTGGTAAAGCACTTCTTAAGTGTGACCCTGGGTCCAATCCCCAGCACCACACACATACAAATAAAGTTACAGCCGCTTGCTGTTCATGTTTGGGTCTCCCTACCAAACATTCAACAGAGTAAATGGCTATTAGAGGTTACTGTCCCTGCATTCCACAAGAACTAAGATAGCCACCTCATGATGGGGAGAGGAAGAACCACACCTAGAACTCAGGGGACCTGCTGGGATGCTTCTTGATGCATCCTGTCTCATAAGAACCTTAAGTAGAAGTTGAAACAACCTGGCCTGACAAGGCTATGATAACCACGGTTCAGATCTCTCAGGAATAAAGGTCTAGGTGACCCTACCAGGAAGGCAATGTGGACCAAGGGCTGCCAGGGATGAGGGGAATGTGGAGTAAGTGGTAGAGGAAACCACCATTTGGAGCTCAGGAGTGATTGCAGCAGTGAAGACCACAGTTATGTCATTCTATACCATTAGCCTTCTGGTTGTATTTTTTTTAATATTTATTTTTGTTACTTTTATCTTATGAGTGTATTGCCTGCATGTAGGTAAGTGCACCTGTGTCAGGCAGAGCCTGTGGAAGTCAGAAGAGGGCATCAGATTCCCTGGAACTGGTTATGGACAGTTGTTAGCCACCATGTGGGTGCAAGGAACTGAACCTGGTCCTCTGTAAGAGGTCAGAAGAGGGCATCCTATCTCCTGGAACCAGAGTTATGGATAGTTGTTAGCTGCCATATGAGTGCTGGAAATCAAACTCCAGTCCTCTGCAAGAGCAACCAGTGCTCTTAACTGAGGAGCCATCTCTTCAGCCTTTTTTTTTGCACATAAAAAGGCTTTATTTAAGCTGGGCGTGGTGGTGCATGCCTTTAATCCCAGCACTTGGGAGGCAGAGGCAGGCAGATCTTTGTGAGTTCAAGGCCAGCCTTGTCCACATAGTGAGTTCCAGGACAGCTGGGGCTACAGGAGAAAAGAAAAAAAAAAAAAAAAAAAAAAAAAGAGGCTTTATTTGCAGGGGAGCAGGAATTTAATCACACTATATGTGCTGCTGAAGCGAGCACCCGTTTGTATTTTTTAATTAATTTTCGTGTGCATGTACGTGTGTGTTCATGTGTGCCACAGTGTGCAAGCAGCAGTCAGAAGACAACTTTCAGGGCTTAGTTCTCTCCTTCTACCATGTGGGTCCTGGAAATCAAACTGATTATCAGGCTTGGGAGTACCCATTGAGCCATATGGCCAGCCCTAAGTCAAGTATTTTATCATAAGGACCAAGCACTAACACACCAGGCTGGAATGAACCTGCAAAATCAGGGCACAGGATCAGAGCCCTCAGGGTAGACAGGTTCAGGAAAGGGAGCTGGGTCAGCTTCAAGGACTTGGGTTCAATCTCAGCACTATAACCAGCTGTTAAGACTCTTGGGCCACTAAACCTGTTTGGGCCTCAGTTTCACCAAGTGACAAACATTTATCCTATCATCTGACATCTCACAGGGATGGATCACATGCAATTGTATTTAATAAATGTCTTTAGCATGTCATTCATATTGGTCCATCCTCTCTCCTCAACTCTGTCCCCACGACGCACGCACACACATGCTCATACACACACTAAGCTTCCTAAGAAAGATGGCTGCAGACTGGCCAGGTAGAGCACAAGTCCTTTATTTCCTACATTGGCACAAACATCAATACACAGGCTGACAAGCTACAAGACTGAGAAGCTCTGTGGGAGTGGGGCAGATACTGAGGGGATCCCCAGTGTCTCCTGGACCATAGCTTAGGGGCAAAGATATGGGGAGGGGCAAACATCAAGAAGGGGGAAACTCACAGGGCACAGGTGGAGGGGGCTGAGACACCACAGGGCAGAGGGGACCCCCCCCAGACACACTTTTGTGTTACACACAGTAATAGGGACTGAGAAGGAAGGATGAGGAACGGCACAGAGGCCAGGTTCCTAGAAGTCAACTGAGACTCGGGGGGGTCCCTTTATTTGGGGGGGGGCAAGGGGTACAGAAAAGGTCCTTCCAATAACTGCCCACCCTAGGGACCTGGATCTCTGCCCTGCCCACTTGTACCCATCTCAGAGCTGGGTCTGGTAGCCAGCCAGTCCGCCCCAGGCTGCTTCTGCTCCCAGGGCCACCATGTGATCCAGCTTTGGTAGCAGTTGCAGAATGAGGACCTGGGGTTCCTTCAGCCTGTCCCCAAAGAGGGTGGAAGCTTGGTCCCCTCAGGCTCCAGCCCAGGTTCATCAGGACAGAAGGAGAACTGAGGACAGACATGGGGTCCTGTTTAGAGAAATGGAAGGAGGGTCTGGGATGGGTGAGACTTGGCCAGGCAGCAGAAGGAAGGGTCTCAAGCTGTCTGTGGGGTCTCTGCAGGCTGTTGGGAAACAGCAAAGCCTGGAAGAGAAAGGGATGAATGTGAATCAGAAGCCTGACAACCTCAGATCTGAGGCAACAGGCAGACGAGTCTGATCAGCTGTGTCAGGAGAGGAGACAGAATGCCACCATTGACAGGTACGCAGGTTGCCCACTGCCAGCCATGTAGCTATCACAATTCTGTTTACAACCTGCACAACTTTATCTGGCAGCCCTGTTACAGCCAGTGCTATTCCACCTACTGGTGCCCAAAGGGCCATCAGAGTATCAGTAGGCTACTTGTGTCTACTACGGAGGCTGACACAAACTTCAGGGCTGACCCAGCAGGGCAGGCAGGGTACAAGAATAGCATGAGAGGAATATTCTATGCACAGCAGTGGGGTCGGTTCAGATCTTCACTACTCAGAATAGCACAGGTTTGAATTTGCTCCTGTGTGACCTTGAACATATCACCTCAGCTCTCTGAACTTCAGGTTCCGCTTCTAATAAATGGGGCACAATCATCCCTACCTACGGGGGCATGACAATTAAAGCTAACATACAGGTAAAAGATCCATAAGTAAACCATCATTGATTTCACTGACAGTTTCTCATAAACAGGACCTAAAAGGTATGCCCTCAGTACATGTAACTCCCCAAATCTGGGGTCTCCAAGTGGAGAGAGAAGCCCCTGACCCATCCCACCACCCCTGGCCCACTCCAACACTTACCCAGGGGATTTATCTGACTTTGGCCCTTGCTGGAAGAGGCCTTTGTCCCAGTGGCCTAAGTGGCCCCAGAAGGCCCCTCTTCCTCCCTGGCCCTGGGAGGGTGGCTGGCCTTGTCCTCCTGGGTCAGCGTCCCTGGCTGCTGCTCTGTGGTCCCACTCCCCAAATTTGCTTTGGCCTGCATCTGCTGCAGGGCTGGCGAACCTTGGGGATAGGGAAGTCAGGGGTGGAAGACAGAGAGAGGGGTGGACAGAGATAAAAAGCGAAATGAGGGGGATGTACTGTTCCAGCCCTCACTCCCCAGCTCAGCCCCTAGGAGGCAGGAGGGCGGGGAACTGGACTAATAAGCAAATTCCACCAAAATGAACACTGGGACAACAGTTCCAACCAAGGGGGCCCTGAGGTGCCTATGCAAATGGTATGCAAAACCATGCGAATCGGCCCACTGGGTGGGGCCAAGTTAGAGGTAAGTGAGCACTCTGCGGGCTTACCTACCCCCACCTCCCCGCCCATCCCATTGGCTTCATGATCTGCAGCTTGTTCCATTATCAGGATGATGGCCTCTGAGAGAGCACTCACCTTTCTGGAGTATCTTCTGCTTCAGCTGCTGTTTGGAATGGGCATCCTGCCAGCTGGCCAGTTGCTGGAGGACGTACTTCATGTCCAGGTGTGAAGGGCCCAGGCCACTGGCCTCCAGGGCAGAGACCACTACACTCATCTTTGTGGCCTCATCTAGCTCCGGTTCCACCTCCTCCCAGGCCTCAGTCTCCTCAGAAGCCTGTTCTGCTTCTTCCTCAGCCGTCCCCACCTCTTCTATGGCCCCCAGCTCCTCCTCAGGCACCAGCTCTTCAGGAGCCTCAAAATCTTCAGGTGGCATGGGATCTTTGGGTGGTACTGATGCCTGCTGCTGCTCCTTCTTCTCCCTGTGGTGAAGGTCGCATCTGGGCAGGGAGACAGGAAGGGCTTATCATAAGTGCCAGCCCTTCTGGAACTCTTGCCCTTCTGCCCTCCAGGGGAGGCTGGGGAAGACAGCCCAACCCCCAGCTCTCTGTGAGCTTCTTCTTGCCCTGCCCCAGCCTCCAGACCCTGATGATCCTCCCCAGCTCTGTCCCAGCCAGGAGAGGGGAGAGAAATTCAGCTTCAAGGTTTCCAATACCCAGCCCGTTCCCCTGACAAGAGGAAAGGTCACCACACCACACAGGCTCCATCTTCTTCCCATTCCCCACCCACTCTCCTGTATAGAAAAAAGCAGCTGGGATATTTCACCCCAAAGCTAGTTGCCATACAAATCCATTGTAATAGCTGGACGAGATGGCACACGCCTTTAGTCCCAGAGGCAGAGGCAGGCAGATGTCTCTGTGAGTTCAAGGTTCAAGGCCAGTCTGGTGTACAAAGTGAGTTCCAGGCCAACTAGGGCTACAGGGAGACCCTGTCTTAAAAAGACCAAAAAAAAAAAAAAAAAAAAAAAAACCCAAAACCAAAAACCTAAATCCATTGTAGTAAGGCTCAGACTGTTCAAGTGACTTGCCCAAGGATACAAAGAAGACAAAATGGGATCAAGTCCCAGGTGTATCCAACTGCTGGGCCATCACCTCTCAGTGCCTGGTCAGTTGAAGGAAAGGCTTTGGTCTCCACATGGAGAAGCCTTAAACAGCCACCTAGAAGGTAAGGTCTGAGGGGAAAGGGGACAGCTTGTTCCCAGAACACCACCTTCCCAGATTTCCAGTCACAGAATTAACAAGTAAATAGTTGTCTAAAAGGTGAGGACAGGTGATGGGGAGCCCCTAGCCAGCTTACCCAGGGTTTGATGTCTCCCCAACAGGCATCCCACGAGGAGTCCTTAACAGAAAACAGGACTTCAGTGTACTAAGGCAGGGGAAGCAGAAGCTGCAAAGTCCCTGGGACCCAAACATGCTGAAAAGTCCCAGGGAAAAATGAGGGGTCCCAGACCATGAACACAGTGGGAGAAACTGGGCAGTGAGTGAGGCAGGGTAGGGAGGTGGGAGGGACACCAGGGAAAGTACAGGGGTCAGAAGCATGAGGGCCATCCCTCCCCACTCAGAGAAGGCAACTGGTTGTCCACTAGGTGGGCCAGAGTGAGTGTGGTTGAGCCAAGTCTGGGAGTCCCAGTGACGCACTTCTCCATGAGATACGCAGGGTCTGCGACGACCCTCCTTAAGGATGTTCTGAGTTCTTGAGCCAGGGCCTCCGGGAAGCTTGGAAGTGCATCCTACAACAGAGGGGAGGGGGCATTGCCAGAGGATGAGTGAGAAAGAGAGAGAGAGAGAGCAACTGATCGATCTAAAGGCAGAAATCAGCCAGCATGGCTAAGGCACAAGGGCACACAGAGGTACAAGGGAGGTATCCTCACCAGAGGCACACTGTATCCATAGTGGGCGACGGAACCAGCAGGCATGGAGGAGTGCTGGCGCTTCGCAGCCTCCTCCTGGCGCCTGATCCCAAGGTCTGTGTATTTTTCCCGAGGGCCCTGCATGTGAGAGCCCACTCGCAGGTTCTGCTGGGATCCAGAGGTGTCCAGTCAGGCATTCTTGCCTGCTCTTGCCTCAGGCCAAGAGGCAAGGGCTCAGGCTCTAGACCCAAATGGTGACATTCAGGGTGACCCTGGGCAAGACTCTGATCTTCACTCCACTCAGGCCTCCAATGAGCTGCTAACTGCTGGGCCATGGGCCAGACAGGGAAGGGACAGAAAGGCCCTGCCTGCAAGGTGCTTGTCCTCTGTGGAGAGTCAAACAGTCCCCAGGGCCCTGCATCCCTGATCAGGGCGAGGGGCTCTCAAGAGCAAAGCAGGAGCTTGTGGCGCCTCACCTCTGCACGGATTCCCTTCTCCAAGGCCAGCTGCTGCTGCAGCCTCTCCGTCTCAGCCCCGTACTGGAAGGAGCCAGAACGTGTGAGAACCCAAGGCCTCCTATTCCTGCACCCCATGCCCCAATAGTCTTTACATATCAGGGAGTCTTCAACAGCCCTTTGAGGAAGTCACATGGAACGAGAGCCATAAAATGGGAGTTCATGCAGCCTGGTTCCTGGGAGAATGTGAGATTCTTTGTGAGGACTTGGTTCCCTCCTTGGAAGTGACTAGACTGGATGAGTGGCTCTCTGGTATCTCCAACTCTGATACCAGAGTTCCGTAAGATGGAGTAGGGGAGGAAGAGGCTGGGGTCCCACAGGGCCTTGACCAGGAGAGGGAACTTTCACAGAGCCGCTCACCGACTGGCAGCGCTGCTGCAGCTTGGTGATCTGGGCCTGCAGCTGGGTGATCTCCTTCTGCTGTCGCTCATAGCCCTCCAGCCTCAGTACCAGCACCTCCGACAGTTCCGCCATCTGCTGACTGGCCTCAGCTACAGAACAAGCACAGATCAGCCCTGGCTTCTGGCCTATCTGTCCCACCCTTCGGGGGTTCCACAGGACTTGCCATTCCTTTTAAAAAATGATTATTGACACAGAGAGGGGGCCTGGGAAATGTGGTTGATGAGACCTGGTCCCAGCCCACGCTGAGCTCCAGTCTAGTGAAGAGGCGTCTGGGAAAAAGCACTCACAATCTCAAATAATATGGGCTGCGATGGAGCCAATATTAAGGCCGTAGAGCAGCAGTATGGGAAGGGAATCAATAGCTGGAACATCCGACCCAACCCAGCACTGCCCACTTCCCACCCTTTCAGCTGGGAAGGGTTTCGTAAGAAGGAACCAGTCAGATAAGACCACAGGGTAAGCCCCACCATGCAAAGAAGAAGAATGGACACCCAGAGGATATGGGCAGTTAGCAGGGACCAGATCACAAAGGTGGGGGAAAAGGGTAGAGTTATCCTTGACCAATGCAGGAGAGTTATTTGGGGATTTTAGTCAGATTAGTGATGGAGTCATGTCTGGTTTTAGAAAACTCATTTGGGTCGTAGGTAGAAGAGCCTGGTAGGGCTGGGAGGCCCCACTATGAGGTGTCGTGAGCTAGACATATTGAGAGAAGGAAGGAGGATGATTTGAGCCATGCCTAGGAGTAGAAGCAACAGAAACCGGGAGCTGGCTCCTTTAGGAGTCTGGGTACCAGAGGGGCCATTCAGAGGGCTGCGGAACCCAGAAGGACAGGCATGAGGCGAGGAGACGGCACGAACAAAATTCTATCTGAGTTTGCGTCTCAGCAAGGAGACTTGAGGTCCTCGGGACCAGACAGTGCCCATGTTGGTGCTAGGTACACCTCAGACCCAATATGTGACTCTGAGTTCATCTGACCCTGGATGCCTAGCCTCTGGCAGCCCCTGGCTCCCTTCCCATTGTCTTTCAACTGTCTCAAATAATGGAGACAGATTTTTAAGGACCCCCATGACTTGTGCTTTTTTTTTTTTGAGACAAGGTCTCATGGGGCCCGGGCCAGCCTTGAACACCTGATCCTCCTGCCGCTACCTCCTGAGTGCTGGGATTACAGGTGTACACCATAACACATAGCAGTGGTGCCTCTCTTGATCCTCATAAACCTGAGATCAGCAGCAGCAGGTCCAAATTATTAACTCTCATGCTTAAGTTCAGAAAGGCCAAGGAACTGGTCCGTGCTTACACAGCTGCAGGATCCCAGAGTCAGGACCTCAGCTCAGGTCTCCAGACTCCAAATCCTGGGTTCTTTTCTCCATTCCTTGGGACAGTCCCCTACCCCGAGTTACAACATCACACGTACAAAACTGCTCCACACATTCCAGAATGAGCATCTGCTCCTCGTCCTCCAAGGTGTCCAGGTGAGAGGCCTGGAGGGAGGAAGAAAGGAAGGGGCAGGGCCGTCACCACCCCCTGCCACTGGGCATGCCCGCCTCCCTGTCCTCACCTCCTCCTTCAGCTGGTCATTCTCCTTCTCCAGCAGTCTCAGCTTCTGCTGCAGGGCTTCCAGCTGTGGGCAGTGGTGCAGTGACTCCTCCTTAGGGGGCCTGGCAAGGAGGCAACACAAATCAGGGTGTGAGGGATGGAGGATCCCAGTCCCCAGGGCTTCCCCACACTTGGAAAGGGTGTCAGTCTCAACAAGTCCCAACAACTCTACTGGCAGGTGCTCTACCCATGTCCCAGTTTACAAATGAGCAAACTGAGGTTCAGAGAGGGGATGGTCCAGGCGCAAAGGCAGAACACGCACGGTTTAGGGGCACCATAGGGGTGGTCATGCTGGCGATCTTGATCTCGCTGTCCTTCATGATCCTCCTCTTCGTCCTCTTCATCCTCCTCTTCGTCCTCTTCATCTTCCTCTTCATCTTCATCTTCCTCATCAGAGTCTGAATAGAGCTGAAGGAGGTCATCTCGCAGGTTCACCTGCTTTCGGAGGTGTAAAATCTGGCAGGAGAGGGGAGCCATTGAAAAGTGAGTACACAGGCACATAATAGGAGCTGGCCTAGGGGTGAAGGACACACTGACCCCTCCTCTCACCCCTCTGTTGCTCCCAATTACCTCTTCCCTGGCTGAACCCAGCATGGTTTCCAGTTTGCTATTCTCTTCCATCAAAACGCTGTTCTGTTTCACCAGGGACTGGCCAATGCGAGCCGCTGTATTCAGGTCCCGTTCTTTCTGCAAAGGGATCACCACCCATAAGAGAGTATTTTCCCAGTTTCTAGGCCCTCCTAGGCAGGTGGGAGGAGCTAGAATTAGGCCACAAGAAGAAATCACCCCCAAGCTCCAGTTCTCCAGTTACTAGACCAGAGATGACATTAACCCACTCTGAGATCTGACTTGGTTTCCCATCGTAGAAAAAAGATCAGATCAGCCCAGATTGGTCCTGAAAGCTACTTACCTTCCAGGAGAGGGACCCTCAACTTGGCCCCCAGGCAGATAGGAAACAGACAAAACCCTTATGTTTTGCAGGGTAGAATTTAAATGGGGTGGGGAGGGAGGTACACACCTCTTCCAGCAAATACAGCATCACTTTGATATCATCATCAGTGATCTTCTTCGTCGGAGGTGGGTTAGGACACAGTGCTGTGGGAGAAAAGGCCAGACAAAGTGAGGAAAAGGAGCCGAAGCCGCCCACATTCCACTGTGTCCCTGACATCAAAGATCAGGGTTTCCGAGACAGAGTTCCACCTGTTTTAGCACCATCTCCCAGCCCCAAAACAGCACTCCTGCTTCTTCAGCTGGGCCCTGGGTGCAATGAGGGAAAAACAGTCCTCCAGGCTCAGGAACTGGACTCTCAGGCTACCTGGGGTTTTGGGAGTGGGAGGCTCCTGGTCCCTAAGAGGTATAGAGTCAGTCAAGGAAAATACAGCTGCAGGCTGACTCATCACCCCTGATCCAACGGGCAACTTAGCTAGCTCACTGGAGCCTCCTGGATCATAAAAAACACAGTCACCCACCACGCACTTGTTGAGTGTGGCAACAGAGACTTCTCCAGCACCCAGAAAGGGGCACCTGAATCTCAATCTACCCGCCTACAAGAAGAGGAGGGTCAGAAACCCCGCCCACTCCTCTCACTCCTCCCACCTCGGCTCCGGGAAAAGCTGGAGCCCAGCAACCAAGAAGTGGTCAAAACCTCCCCCTCCGCCCCCACCCACCGCCCTCCACTCACCCACCTGCCTCTCCCCCGCCTTCTGGCCCCGCTGGCCAGCGCAGGCTCAGAGCGCTCCCAGCAGCGCCTGCCCGCAGCCCCCACCCCTCTCCTGGCACTGCAGTAGACGGGGAGGGGGCACCGAGAGCGCGCAGATCTGCCGCAGCAACAGGCGAGACGAGGGGGCGAGGACGCGCAAGCCCTAAACCTGACGCACCGAGAAAAATCAGGGAACCCGAGAGGGAGGAGATGGGGAGGGGGCGACCCGACTGATACCGCGACAGTGGCTTCGCAGGGGTGACAGAGAGGGTGGGACTGAGCGCCAAAGGGGGGCGGGGCGCCTGGGTCGGTGGGCCCCCTCCTCCGCGGAGATGTCCTAGTAGCAGCCACTCGGGGATCCCTGGGACGCAGTTTACCTTCCTGCAGCTCTCGAATAAACGCCGCACGCTCAGGACCGGACACCCCGGGCCTCCGTCCGATGTAGGCGGCTGGCGTCTTCCAGATTCCCTCCGCCTTTCCAGTTCCCAGGCCAGTGGCCCGCGGACCAAAAGGCCCCTGGAATACGAAGCGGGTCCATGGAGCGTCCGAGCGGCGCTGGGCTCCTGTCTTGGCTCCAGCCTGGGAACCCTGGCGAGCTCCGGCCTGGGATGCGGACGGTGGTCGGAATCCTGCTCGCTGTCCGGCCCCGGGTCCCTGAGCGGGAGCGGGTTCGGGCTCCGCCGAGGGCTCTGGAGCAGGACCGGCTGCAGGCGGGATCGCGGGGGTGGCTGCTGCTGGGTCCCCGAGCCCGGGTCCGGACCCTGGCCCGTCGCCAGCAAAGGTCTGCACCTGCTCTTTCGGGCGCATCTTGAGTCTGCAGTCCGCCGCGGCAGCCGAGCCTTTATAACCTGTGCCCGGAGCTGGCGCCGCGGGACTGTACCACGCGTGGCGCTGGGGGTGACGGAGGATCAATTAGTGGTGCGGAGACACAGGATCGCTCGCGGGAGGAGCCTTGGTAACGGAACAGAGAGTGACAAATAAAGAAGAGAAGGAAGACGAGGTGGAAGCCCAGCTGGTTCCGCGGGCTTGGGTTCGCAGTGAAGGGTTCCCCCCTCCATCTTCCCAGAATGGTTCTCCCCAAAGCCTCAGCTTTCAGGGGCTTGGGTAGAAGGACCCCGATTCCCCACATAGAAACACCCCTCTCCCCTGCTTCCGCTACCCAGGTTTCCAGCTGCCATGTCTGGTGTCGCACCAGACAACCCAACGTTGTGACTACGGACTGGGGTGACCTGCGCGTCAGGACAGTATGTCTGTGTTTTTCTAGGTGGATTGAGCTAGAAATCCAAACTCCCGTGGCTTTCAACGTGTTGCGCTTCACCCACAGGTCCTCGCGCTCACACCCCTACATTCGCGCCTGGACATCCTCCATCTTACTGCGTTTCCTTGTTCTTAATCTCCAACCCTATTTCCCAAGGCCTACCATCCTACCAGCACCTGTTCCTCTAGGGAGAGCCTGCTTGAAGTGTGACGGCTCCTCCAGACACACCCCATACACACACTCCACATAGCATCCTTTATCCCCTGGTCTGTACTGACCGACGTCAGTCTTCTAGATCTTCATCCCCTAGACCGTGTGCCTTCCAGAAAACTGAATATTTCAGTGGATCGCCCTGAGTCCTGAATGAACTGGGGAGAGGGCGGTGCTGAGGAGTGCAACCTTTAACTGGGCTAAAAAGAGATGGATAGCTCACTGACTTTTTTTTTTTTAATTTTACGTGTATGCGTGTATTGCCTGAATGTAGGTAAATGCACCCGTGTCGTAGAATGCCCGCAGAGATCAGAAGAAGGCATCGGATCCCCCTGGAACTGGAGTTACAGACGGTTGTTAGCTGCCATGTGGGTGCTGGGACTTGAACCCAGGTCCTCCGTAAGAGCAATCTGTGCTCTTAACCATTGAACCATCTCTCTAGATCCCATGGCTCTCTGACTCTTAAAAAAATTTTTTTTAGCTGCCGGGCATGGTGGCACACGCCTTTAATCCCAGCACTCGGGAGGCAGAGGCAGGCGGATCTCTGTGAGTTTAAGGCCAGACATAGTGAGTTCCAGGCCAGCTTGGGCTACAGGGAGACCCTGTCTCAAAAAGACCAAAAAAATTTTTTTTTTAATTTTATTTGTTTGAGTATTTTGCATGCATGTATGTAAGTGCACCTGTGTCTTGGCAACACCCTCAGAGATCAGAAGGGAGCATTGGATACCTTAGAACTGGAGTTACAGTTTTTAGTCATTTGTGGGTGCTGGTAACCAAACCTGTGCCAATGCTCTTAACCACTGACCCATCTCTCCAGCAACTCGCTGACTTTTTTTTTTTTTTGAGACAGGATCTCCCTGTAGCCCCAGCTGTCCTGGAACTCACTATGTAGATCAGGCTGGTCTCAAATTCACAGAGATCCACCTGCCTCTGCCTCCCAAATGCTGCGATAAAAGGCAACCACCGCCCGGCTCCTCACTGACTCTTTTTAAGTCTTGAAATCATTCTCCCTGCCCTCCAGTCTCCTCAATATCCAGGGATTTGCCAAGTCTATTGCATTCACCTTTTCTATAAATTAAAAAAAAAATCGGGGCTGGAGAGATGGCTCAGCAGTTAAGAACACTGTTCTTGCAGAAGACTCAGGTTCAAATCCCAGCACCCACATGGCCGCTAACAACTGTGGGTAACTCCAGTTCCAGAGGCTCCAACAGCCTCTTCTGCCCTCCGCGGGCATTGCTCGGCATGGGTGCACTTACCTACATGCAGGCAATACACACATACACATAAAATAAAAATAATAAATAAAACAAAATAAAGCATATAAATTGTTAAAGAAAACTTTTTAAAATTTAAAAAAAAAATTGTGTCAGGCATGGTGGTACAACCCCTTTAATTCCAGCACTCGAGAGGCAGAGGCAGGCAGATCTCTGTGAGTTCAAGGCCAGCCTGGTTTCCATAGTGAGTCCAGGCCAGCTGGGGCTACAGGGAGACCCCATCTCAAAAAGACAAAAAAAAATTTTCTGTGTATTATGAATGTTTGGCCTACATGTATGTAAGTGTACCACATTGCCTGTCTGGTGCCCATGGAGACTAGAAGAGGGCGTTAGATCCCCTAGAACCGCAGTTAAGGACAGGTGTCAGCCACGAGTGGCTACTGGGAACCAGACCCCAGTCCTCTGGAAGAGCAATAAGTGCTCTTAATCGCTGAGCCATCTCTCCAGTCCTAAATTCACCTTTTTTGTTTGTTTTGTTGAGACAGGGTGGCCTTGTAGCCCAGCTGGTCTGGAACTCACTAACTCACTATGTAGATCAGACTGGCCTCAATCTCACAGAGACCTGCCAGCCTATGCCTCCTGAGTGCTGGGATTAAAGGTATATACCATCATGCCCATCCCTGAATTGCCCTTTTAAAACTAAAATTTTTTTGGTTTTTGGTTTGTTTTTTTGTTTGTTTGTTTGTTTGTTTTGTCTTTTTGAGACAGGGTCTCCCTGTAGCCCCAGCTGTCCTGGAACTCACTATGTAGACCAGGCTGGCCTTGAACTCACAGAGATCCGCCTGCCTCTGCCTCCCAAGTGCTGGGACTACAGGCTTGCACCACCATGCCTGGCTATTTTTATTTTTTGTATGTGGTGTATGCATGTGTACATGTGTGTAGGCCAGAAGTAAGCAACAGATATCACCTGTCACCTCCCCCCTTATTTTTTGAGACAAGGTCTCTCACAGAACCTGGTGCTCTACATTTTGACTAGACTGACTGGCCAGCTGCCCCTGGGACTCACCTTTCTCTGCCCTGACCCCAAGTGGTGGTATTGCAGACTCCTGTCACTATGCCAGGCCTTTATGTGAGGGCTGGGGATTCAAACTCAGCTCCTTATGTTTAAACAGCAAGCACTTTACCCACTGAGCCATCTCCCAACTTGCTATTTGGGTTTTTTTTTTTTCATTTTTATTTTTCTTTTATGTATATGAGTGTTTTCTGCAAGTATGCAGGTGCACCACGTGTGTGCAGTGCCCACAGAGGCCCTCAGGATCCTCTGGAACTGGAGTTATAAACTGTTGTGAACCAGTATGTGGTGCTGGGAACCAAAGCCCAGGTTCTCTGCAAGAGTAGCCGCTGCTGAGCCATCTCTTTAGTCCCTATTTGTTTTTGGGGGTTTTTGTGTTTTGTCTTGTTGTTTTGTTTTGTTTTGAGACATGGTCTCACTCTGTAGTCCAGGCTGGGCTGAAACTCCTTTATAGCCTAGGCTGGTCTTGAACTTGCAGAGGTTGGAGCAATTCTTCTGTCTCAGCTGGAGTTACAGGTATGAGTCACACCTAGCTTGACTTTACTCTGTGTGTGTGTGTGTGTGTGTGTGTGTGTGTGTGTGTGTGTGTGTGTATTTTATGTATACGAGTGTTTTGCTCACATGTATGTTCAGGCACCATGCACGGTGCTTGTGAAGACCAGAAGACGGTGTTGGATCCCCTGAAACTGGAGTTAAAGAGAATTATTAGCCACCATGTGGATGCTGAGAACCAAACCCAGGTCCTCTGCAAGAGCACCCAGTGTTCTTTACTGCCAAGCCATCTCTCCAGCCTAGAATTTACCTTTTAAATGCTTCTACGTAGCCAAAGCTGCACAGCAAGATCTTGTCTCAAAAACGAAAAACAGTAAATAGTTCTCAAGTGTTCATGGTCTGCTCAGCCTCAGTTTCCAAGTTGAGGACTCACTCTCTCATCTCTGATTATTGTGGTACCCAGCCTCCTTCACACCCCTACCCTACAGGCTGGGGATTCAAACTCAGCTCCTACCCCTCCCTGGATCTAGGTGCGCTCTTCAATCTCTAGTCCATCCTTTAACACATATACCATCTAAGCTAAGGAACTCCAGGTGCCACCATCCCACAATCACCCATCCTCTCCTAAGCTGCCAACAGGGCTGTTGCACAAGGTCACCACCTAGTGTCACCACCTAGTGTCTTTGGGGCCAGGTTTCCACAGCACAGTCTGGAACAATAGAAACAACCCAGGAAGAGTCAGAGTACCCCTCCACTGTCAGGAGGCATAGACATCAGTACATCCCTTTTGCCACCTGGGAGGCTAAGGCAGGAGGATCATGAGTTCAAGGTCAACCTGAACTACGTAGCAGGTTGGGCTACATGAGAACCTCTCTCAATACCCCTTCCCCCCAAAACAATATTTCCTTCTATAGTCATTCATTCATCATTCATTCATTCATTCATTTATTCATTGATCCTTTCATTCAACAAACATATTGAATGCATATTCTAGTTGTGGATGTGTGGTATGTGCATGCATACATCAGTGTGTGGGTACTGGAGGCCAGAGGAAGACATTAGGTGGCCTCTCTTGTTCTCTTCCTTATCCCATTGAGACAGAGTCACTCACTGAACCCAGAGCTTGACATTTTTCAGCTAGGCTGGATGGCCAGCAAGGCACAGGGAGCCTCTCCCCACACCTAGAGCTGGGGTTACAGGCTAACATTTCACATAGGTGCTGGAGAGCCAAACTCAGGTCCTTACGCTTGTGTGTAAGCAGTCTTATCCACTGAGCCATCTCCCTAGCCCAGAGTGCCTGTTCTGTATACCAGGTGGTGTGCTAGACTTGGACTAGAACAGAAAGCAAAAGAAACTAATCTCTGCTTTCCTGGAGTTTAGTGTCCAGAAGAAAGGCAAATGAACAAGAAAACAAATCAGATAATTACAGATTTGACAAAGTTCACAGAAAGATACAAAGAGGTATGACTAAGAAAAACAGAAAGTACCTACTCCCAGAAGGCAGAGAAAATCGTTCCAACAGCTATCCTGTATTCAGCCCACACCTGGGATGCCAATGTACATTGCCCACTCAGACTCTCCCTCTCCTTCAACAGCAGCCTCCCTTCCCAGGGACATTGTTTCTCACTTCTGATTGGTGACTGAACTCTGCTCCCACTTGTCCTAGCCCCACATCCATCAACCCCATGGGGACTCATCTGCCCATTTAGCAAAGGGACCATCCTATCTAATCAGATTATTTCTGAAATATAGCTTCAAACTGAGCTCCTGCAATAGCAGGAAAAATAATAAATGGTATCCATGCTGAACTTGAACCCCTCCCAAGCCCCTTCTTTTTCTTGGATTGGGTGTTTCTCTACTGTCTGTCTATCTATCTGTATTTCTCCTCTCATATCTATCAATCATCTATCTATCTATCTATCTATCTATCTATCTATCTATCTATCTTCCATCTATCTCTGTTGAGATAGGGTCTTGCTATGTAATTCAGGCTACCCTGGAACTCTCTGTGTGTCCAGGCTAGCCTCTACCTTGAAATCCTCCTGCCTCAGTTTTTCATGAATGTTAAGATTACAGGTATACGCCATCACACTTGGCTGACCCCAAGACATTTCTGTCAGGTTGTTGAGAGTGACTGAAGCCAGGGTCAGTAAAGGAAAAAACTTGTAAGATTGCCTTTTATCATGGTTAGAACCTTCAGCAATCTTTGTATTTGTGGGCTTCATGTCTTTTTTAAAAAGATTTATTTTTTTCATGTCTGTGTGTGCCTGAGTGTATGTAAGTGCATCATGTACATGCAGATGCTCATAAAAGCCAAAAGACAGCATAGATTCCCCGGAAGTGGGGTTACAGGTGATTGTGAGCCATCCAATATGGGTGCTGGGAACCAAACCCAGGTTGTCTGTCCTCTGCAAGAGCACAACTGCCTTAACTGCTGAGCCCTCTTCCAGCCAGTGCCCTTAACGGCTGAGCCATCTATCTAGCCCTGGTAAGCAGAATCTTTGAACTTGGGTTTCAACAGAATTCTCAGTTCTCAGATGGGTCTCATTTTCTTTCCATCCCTCATCACCAGCACCAGTGTGTTCCCATGGAAACTATACACATTAATAAGCTTCACAGCTGTGAATCCTGCCTCTGCCTCTTATAAAGACTGGGGCTTCAGCATCCATATCTGCAAAATGAGACTAAGAACTTAATTTAATTTGCCTAAAGTCCCAGCCCAGAGCCTCAAGCCTCCTTCAAGGACCCAAGTAGGTTCACTCATCAACTTAAGCTGCCAGAACAGGATACGGCAGGTTATATTAGTCACTTCTCTTATTGCTGGATCAAGCAACTGAGAAGAAGCTGAAGAGAGGGAAGGTTTGCTCTGGCTCTCAGTTTGAGGGTACAGTCCATTGTATCAGGAAAGTCATGGGGGACAGGAGCTGGGCATGGCTGGTCTGTTGCATCCATGGCCAGGAAGCGGAGAGCCAGGAATACGGGTGTTCAGTTTGCGTTCTCCTTTTTGTTTAGTCCTGGACCCCAATCCATGGCATGGTACCACCCACAGTTAGGGTGAGTCTTCCTACCTCAGTTAAACCAATCTAGAAATGTCCTTGAATATGCAACCAGAAGCTTGTCTTACAAGTTATCTAGATCCTTCCTGTCAGTTGTCAACCAAGATTAATCATCACAGGGCTTAAATAATCGAAATTTTCTTTTTCCCAGTTTCTGAGACCGGAAGGCCATGATGGAGATGTCGGACAGCAGGGCCAGCTCCTGGTGAGGCCTCTTTCCTCAGCCTGAGGACAGGGTGTCCTGTTACCTTCCCCGGCCTCTCTTCCATGTGCACTTGGGGGATGAGGTGGAGAAATTGATTTCTGGTGTCTCCCCAACCCCCTTATTTTCTGTTTGTTTATTTTTTTTGTTTTTTTATTTTTATTTTATTTATTATTTTTATTTTTTATGTGTATGAGTGTTATGCCTGCATGTAAGTGCACCCATGTCATTCAATGCCTGGGGAGGACAGAAGAGGCTGTCGGATCCCCTGGAACTGAAGTTACAGACAGTTGTTAGCTGCCATTTTGGGTGCGGGGATTCGAACCCAGGTCTTCTGCAAGAACAGTCAATGTTCTTAACCACCGAGCCATCTCTCCAGCCCCTATTTTTTGTTTTATAAGACAGGATCTCACTATATAGCCCTGGCTGACCTTGAGGCGATCAAGCCTCCTATCTCAGGTTCTCGTCTTGCGCCTCCCTCCACCTCCCTCCTTCCCCTCTCCCCCTCCTCCCCACTCAACCCCCAAACAGAATGTGCAGACAGTAAAGGGAAAACATGGGAAACTTTTCTTTACCATGCAGGAGTAGCAACTCAAACAGGAAAACAGAAGCTCAAATGAGAAAGTAGTTTCCCCGAAACCGTGGGGGGAGGGGGCGTGATATACACTGAGATGTTATGTGTTATAGCTCTGTGCTTACTGTGGGATACCTGCAAGTCTGCAGAGTGCAGGTCACCGAGGACAGCGGCAGGGGCAGGGGGTGTCCCACTTCAGGCAGGTCTCCGAGGCTGCGAGGAGTCCCCCTGCTTGGAGCCGAAGGAGTGGGTCTCAAAGGCCGAGGCCGGAACCGCGGATTGTAAAGCAGGAGCAGCTGTGGGAGAGCCACAGCAGCCAAACCAACTCTCCTGCGGGTGGCTGGTTTCCAGTGGGTCTGTATGTGATGAGTCAGGGCAGTCTTCCTTCCGGGATGAGCTTCTAGAGGCTAAGCTCCAGGCTAGAGCTGGGAGCCAGCTTACAACCAGACTGTAGCCAGGAGCTGGACTCTGGAGTGCGCAGGGCTGTCTGGGCCCCAATCCACAGCCTGAAACAGCTAAGGACTGGTGAAAATGTGGAGCTGTGCCTGTTATTTGTTCCCAGTGGGGCCGGATTGGCTGTGTGTGTGTGTGTGTGTGTGTGTGTGTGTGTGTGTGTGTGTGTATGCAAAAGAGGTATAAAATGAGACCAATCAGGAGAGAGCTGCTAAACCCCAGACTGGAAAACCCATTAAAGCCAGAGACTCTTCTCCTTCCCACATGTTGCAGGAGCAGCTGGAAGGTGGAGACCCATCTCTGGCTTTGCCTTAGGAGGCCAGAAGAGGGAGTTGTATCCCATGGAACTGGGTTGTTAGCCACCATGTGGGTGTTGGGAACCGAACCAGGTCCTTAACCTGGGTTAAGAGCAGCCAGTGCTCCTAACTGCTGAGCCATTGCTCCAGCCCTGGTCCAATTGCTTTTGCACCCTGGATTCTCCGCTGAGAGCTCAGATCACTGTCAGGGACCTCCTGCTGCTGCCTCCAGTTAGGATCACTATGGGAGCCCCTCTTACACCTATTACCAACACTTGGCTGGTGGCAGCAGGATCACTGGGAGTTCAAGGCCAGCCTGGGCTACATAGTAAGACATTCTCACAAAGGGTGGGAGGAGATACATGTGTGTGCTGATGGAAATGTTCTAGCAGAGAAAACTGATGCAGAAAAGAGCACCCCTGTCTCAAGGATAATTCTGGGAATGGAAGAACCCTCTGGACCAAATCCATTCTCCTCAGTATTCAATCACCACCACCACCACCACCACCACCACCACCACCACCACCACCCCACACACATACACACACCCCCGCCCCGGGAACGGAAGCCAAGTCCTCCTTTTTGTCCCATATAATTTGGTCTTTTTTGAGACAGGGTCTCCCTGTAGCCATAGCTGACCTGGATTCCCTATGGAGACCAGGCTGACTTCAAACTCACAGAGATCTGCCTGCCTCTGTCTCCCGAGTGCTGGGATTAAAGGTGTGCTCTACCACACCCAGCTTTTTGCCTATATTTTGAGATGGGATCTTGCTATGTAATCAAAGCTAGCCTTTCTCTGTGTGTGTCTATGTTTATGGTATGTGAAGCTGTTTGGCAGTATTTGTGTGTATGTGTGTGTGTGTGTATACAGGTAGGTGCATATACATGGAGATCGAGGGTCAATTTTCAGTATTGTTTTTCCTCTGGGGCTGTCTGCTAGGCTTTTTGTGTTTTGTTTTGATTTTGAGACCCGACTGGCCTGGAGCTCAACAAGTAGGCTGCTAGGCTGACTGGCTACTGAGTCCCAGGGACCAGCCTGTCTCCACCTCTCCAGTGCTGAGACTACAAGCAAGCACCACCATGTCTGTCTTTTTACATGGGTGCTGCAGATGGACCTCAGGCTCCCAGGTTTGCAAGGCAAGCACTTCACTGACTAACCTATATCCCTAGCCTCTGGCCCCAAACATTTTTTTCCCCAGTTTTTAGAAACTTTTTTAACAGCTTCATGGGGCTCAGCAGTTAAGAGCACTGGTTGTCCTTGAGGAGGACCCAGGTTTGGTTCCCAACATCCACATGGTGGTTAACAATGGCCCATAACTCCAGTTCTAGGTGATCCAATGCCCTCTTCTGGCCTTCTTGGGCATTGCACAACAGAGATGCACTGGCTTCTGTACAGGCAAAACACATAAAATGAAAATAAATAAATTTTTTAAATTTTAAATAAAAATTCCTTAAAAATCATTTTTGGCAGCACAGTGAGTGGCCTTTATTTTAGCATTTGTCAAAAACTGACATTTAGATCCAAGGTTCATATTAAAAAATTATTAGCAGCAGTTTCAAGCATTCAGCAATGCTGATAGGTTGGTTCCACGTTGCTGATACAAGCAAGACTGTTACTCTATGCTCAAAAGAAGCAAGACTTGTCCCAAGAGTGCCTATTAGACATCTGCCAGGGATCTCAGGACCCGTTTGTGACTGTGTCTTCTTCCATCTCTTCTCCACCATCATCACTGGGCCCTGATCTACGTTCTCTACCAGGAAGAACCCGACTGCAGTAAACCTTTCAGCTTTTCTACCTCAGCCAGAGCTGATGTGTTTGCTATGGTGTTCTTGGTTGCTGCTACATCCCCTGGAGAGGGCTCACCGTTCTTTTTGTCTGTTGGCAAACCAGCACCTGGACTGAAAGTTTTGCTTCTCCTGGCAATATCCTTTGCAAGCTGTGCACCCTGTTTGCCCTTGAACATCTGGTCTGCTTCCTGACGCTCTTTTAGCTTCTTTCTGAAAATCCAGTACTCTGACTTGTGGAACTTTATAAATCACATAAAGTCTGTAATGCTTCTTATTTTTTACAGGATGTCTTAGCATGCTTAGATAAATCAGTGACTTGAGAGATGCCAAAGGGTCCAGATCACCCAGTTTCACAAGACTATTGTTGGTGAGAATGAGTTCTGTCAGACAGGGCAGACCTTGGTCAAGTCCCTCACCTACATGGCATATTCTGTTGTTGTTCACTAATAATGTTCTCAGTCTTCTCAACAAGGGAAAACCATCCAGTTTCCTGACCTCGTCAGAAAAATCAATAGCATCAAACTGGTCTAAGGTAGCACCTAGGTTTTCAATGACAGGAATTTTATACCCACGGAGGTCCAACTCACAGTCCTGTACCACGCTGGTGTACTGCGCCACCTGCTCCATCAGCTCCGCCATCAGCTTCACCATCATGTACCCTCTGTACCGTCACAGGCCTACAGCCTCCCACTGGAGCCACCTATTTTATTTATTTTTATTTTATATGTATGAGTGTATTGCTTTCATGTAGGTAGATGTACCCGTGTCATGCAATGCCCACATAGGTCAGAAGAGGGCATTGGGTCCCCTGGAACTGGAGTTATGAACGGTTGTTAGTCACCATGTGGGTGCTGGGGATTGAACCTGGGTCCTTTTCAAGAACAGCCAGTGTTCTAGCCAATAAACCATCTCTCTAGCCCCTCCCAAAATAAAAAGTCATAACAGCTTCCTACATGTATATAATGAAGGTCACTTTCACCCCCAATTGCCCTCTCTCATCCCCTCCCTCTCCCATTGAAACCTCTTCTTCCCAACAAGTCTTTTGGGAAGAAGACTTTTCATATCTTCTTTTTGTGTGTGACCTGCTGTGTATAAGTATAGTCACTTGCACGAGAGTGACTGGGGGTTATTGACTGGTGCCTGGGTGACTGGCTGCACCCCTGAAGAAAATCATACCCCTCCCCCAGCAACCACTAACTGCCAATAGTCCTTTAGGAAGGACCCAACCACTAACTGCCAATAGTCCCTTAGGAAGGACCCTCTCCTTCCCCATACAGGGCGAAATGTTGAAGGGCCCAGGCTCACACAGGTCTTGTGTAGGTCACCACAGATGCAGTGAGTTTATGAGTGCAATGGCCACACCAGGACTAAAACATTATGCAGCCTTGACTAGCCTGTAACTTGCATGTAGACCAGGCTGACCTTGAGCTCACAGAGATCCACTTGCCTCTGCTCCTGGGATTAAAAACATGCAGAGCCTCCTGTCTCAATTTCCTAAGGATCTGCGATCACAAGTGTGGGCTACCATGCCCTACAATGTATGTTTTCATTGTCAGCAAAAAGCTTGAAGGAGGGGCTGGAGAGATGGCTCAGTAGTTAAGAGCACTGGCTGCTCTTGCAGAGGACCCAGGTTCAGTTCCCAGCACCTACATGGTGGCTAACAACCATTCATAATTCCAGTTCCAGGGGGTCCAATCCCCTCTTCTTGCCTCCATTGACACATATACATGTAGGCAAACCATACATACATACATACATACATACATACATACATATGTACATACAAACAAATTAAATAAATAAAGCTTGAAGGGACACAGCCCAGTGTTCACTGTGAACGGTGAGGCTGACAAACAGGAGGGGGTGCCTGTATTGGCATCTGCCCTGCCTAGCTCTTGTGAGACTCCAGGGCTCTGTCAAGTGGCACTGAGCCTCCACCTTCCTGGACAGTCTCACTGTACCTGAACACCTACAAGCCTACACCAGTCACAGAACAGAGCACACAGTGGGAGCTCATTAAATTCCTGCGTGTGAGACATCTTGTGGCTCGTGAAGAAGCAGCTTTGAGGCCCCAGGGAAGACTGGGTGAAGAGGAAAGTGGAACAGAAAGGTGAAATTGGTGAGCTGTCTTAGGTCAGAGCATCGGAATCAGGCAATTCTAACTGAAGCCACCAGAGGGCAGTGTCGGCCCACATTCGGCCACACAGACACCCCGGGCTTCTCCCCGCCACGGAGGAATGGGTTTCAACCTCCCTGTCATCTTTTGGCCTCTCCACCGCCCAGAGCTACCTGGAGCCCCAGAGGGGATTATGATCCCACCCTCTGTCTCTAACCGTTTCCCTTCTCTCCTGCTGTGTGGGGATAGAGGTCAAAGAGGTCCCCCTACCCTACCTCCCAGTGTATCTACCAGAATCCCTGCTGGACCAGACAGAGGACAGGAAAATATAAGCCCTTATACCTAGTTCTCCTGACCCTCGACCCATGAATTTGGGGCTCCATCTTATCCCAGCCTTGGGCAGCCCACATCTAGCTCAGTACCCTCTCCCTGCCTCCTCCCTGGCCAAAAAAAAAAAAAAAAAAGTTACCTGGTGGCTGGAGAGATGGCTCCGTGGTTAAGAACACTGGCTGCTTTTGCAGAGGATCCGGGTTTGATTCCTAGCACTCACATGGCACCTAACAACCTCCATGACTCCAGTTCCAGGGAATCCGACGCCCTCTCCTGGCCTCTGTTGGCATTGCATGCTCATGGTGCACTTAAATACATGCAGGCAAAACATACGTAAAATAAAAGCAAATAAATAATTACAGAAAAAGAATCACCTAGGAGAGGTATCCGATAAAGTTCCTGAGGGTCAGTGTCAGGGATCTGGCCAGAACTAGGCCCCAGGATTACTTTCCCCATGACCAAGGACTGGAATTGCAGGACTGACTCCCTGCCTCTCCCCTGCCGTCTCTTTCAGCCCTTGGATGG